ATATATAATTTCTTCCTTCTGTTTTATTTTGGAAATTGTGATTGTTTTGCAAGCTTTTAAATTACAATGTTTTTATATTTTGCTGTGCAGCACTTTGGTTACCTTGGGGTACGTAAAGTGCTATATAAATAAAGTTTTGATTGACTGAAAATAGTGATACACTGGTTATAAAGAATGAGGGAGCGAAAAATACTTCTTCACAACTTGTACTGTCCACTTGCTTCCTTATGTACAGTAAAGGTTTTAAGTGAATTACCCATTATACTAAACTGAGATCATCTTATGAGAAGGGACAGTTACAGCTGTTTCAGCCATCTCAAAATCTATTCATGCTCCAAGCATGTGTTGTGATTAATGCTCAGCTACTACCAGAACGAATCTGAGTTACAAAAACTGAGTTTTAGTGTTTTTAAGTGTTTTATTAAATCTGTAAAACAAATTTTTACACAACATGTGACACTAAAACTGAGTGTTTCWTGTGCTGCAGAACAGGAACCTGCTGTAAAACAGCAATTATGCTGAGTCAGGCTTGATTTTTAATAATCTTTTCCTGTTAAATAAATAAATCAAATCAAATCAACTGACAGGAAGCTGGTGACTTTTGGACACTTTGTTCGCTAAACGTATTTTTTTTCGTTCCTGCAGGGAGGACGGCGAATTGGAAGATGGAGAAATAGACGACGAGGGGATTGAAATCGAAGAGGAGAACAAAGAGGTCGCTGAGGTGAAGGAGGACAATGAGAAAGAGAAGGAAAAAGAAAAGGAAAAGGGCAAAGAGAAAGAAGAGAAGACACGCAGACACTCCAGGAAGCGGTATAAGAAGACCAAAGAGAAGAGACGATCTAAAAGACGGAGACGAGACAGACAGAGGGTAAGAAACTTAAAGGGATCCATGATTAGTTGTAACATTAGACTTTTTTTGATAAACATTTATTTTACCTGTAAAATAAAGACTTGTAAAATACTGTAGGCTGTTTAGTTTTGTAAATGTTTAAAAATACAGTATATTTTAACACAGACGGAGCCGTTTTATTTACGCACAAAGCATTCTGGGTAAATGATGGTGATAGGTCCTCGGTGTGAGCGAGCTATATCCACCCTGAAGGTTAATCTTGGACAATATCTGATGATCGACTCTTTTAAATGAAACCAGAGAGCGTTGACAG